ATTATGAGCTCACCGCTTTACTGTGAATACACCACTCTAATGATCCTGTGGGTGAATAATTACTGTAGGTTAAAATAGGAAGCTTAAAGGATTAACAATTACTAAAAGCTTTACGTTTATGGCCAGATTAGAAGGATAAACTTGATGTTAGAGAAATGTGTCAGTCAATTCAATTCAATATAGAACTCCATCGAAGTTCCACATGACTACTCATCAAAGGTGCAACTGTGGCCGTGGTTCACACTGATGCAGTACGGAATTTGCAGCGTTTTCGGTGCGAATTCCGCACCGCATCACAATCGCTCCCCATTCATAAGAACCGATGTGTGTATGTTAAGTTAACGACACCCCAACATCGGTCCGCAAAACGCGGTGCGATGTGCAGAATTGGATTGCATAGGTGTGAATACCTATGAGATCCGTTTCTAGTGTGGACCAAAAAAAGAGTCCTGCACGTTTTTGGTGCGGGTGCGGTGCGCGAATAGAGCCATACAAAATGTAGGGCTCTAATTACACTGCATACAAATCGCATGTGATTTATACAGGAATGCAGTGAGGTTCCTGTCGGAATAACATGGGATTTACCGCACCGCTGTAGTGTGAACCTAGGCTTAAACATTTGCAGATTCACAATCAGTAAATAGGCTTAGAGTTTCTATAGAGTAAGGAAGGGTTAGATCCTAATCCTTCATATTGCTGTCTGTATCCCTGTTGGGGAGATTCAGCCTCTATTTGTCCTGATGACCACATAGATAGGAAAGTGTGGAGACAGGAAAGTGAGGGGAAATACAAAATTTTAATTTCTCTTCAGAGGAAAGAGGTGAGGAAAGGTAATGCAATAGGGATATATGTACCTGTTACAACTCTCTAAAATAGGGATTCTGTTCACATTGGAATTATTTAATTTCCTATTGTGTCTCCAGGACAGGAAGTGAGGGGAAATATCCCAAGTTGGACAGATGCAGAAATACAAGCAAACTGGAAAGGGTTTTATCCTGTTCCTACTTTGTCCAAAACTAAAAAAAGTTTTGGTTTTTTACAGTGCATCCAGAAAGTGTTCACTGCGCTTAACTTTTGCTACATTTTGTTATGTTACAGCCTTATTCCAAAATTGATTAAATAAATTTTTTTTTCCTCAACATTCTACAAACAATATCCCTTGACAACGTGAAAGAAGTTCATTTTGAAATATCTGCAATTTATTAAAAATAAAAAATGAAAAAAAACACATGTACATACTGTAAGTATTCAGTCTTTGCTCAATACTTTGTTGAAGCACCTTTAGCACCAATTACAGCCTCAAGTCATTTTGAGTATGATGCTACAAGCTTCGCACACCTATTTTTGGCCAATTTCTCCCATTCTTCTTTGCACAGCAATTTTCAGATCTCTCCAGAGATGTTCAATCGAGTTCAAGTCTGGGCTGTGACTGAGCCACTCCAGGACATTCACAGAATTGGCCCGTAGCCACTCCTTTGTTATGTGGGCTGTGTGTTTAGGGTCATTGTCCTGTTGAAAGATGAACCGTAGCCCCAGTCTAAGGTCCAGAGCTCTCTGGAACAGGTTTTCATCAAGGATGTCTCTGTACATTGCTGCATTCATCTTTCCTTCAATCCTGACTAGTCTCCCAATTCCTGCCACTGAAAAACATCCCCAAAGAATGATGCTGCCACCACCATGCTTCACTCTAAGGATGGTATTGGCCAGGTGGTGATCGGTGCCTGGTTTCCTCCACACATGACGCTTGGCATTCAGGCCAAATAGTTCAATCTTTGCTTCATCAGGTCAGAGAGTTTTGCTTCTTATGGTCTGAGAGTCCCTCAGGTGCCTTTTGGCAAACTCCAGGTGGGGTGCCATTTGCCTTTTACTGAGCAGTGGCTTCCATCTGGCCACTCTACCATACAGGCTTGATTGGTGGAGTGCTGCAGAGGTTGTTCTTCTGCAAGGTTCTCCTCTCTCCACAGGGAAATGCTGGAGCTCTTTCAGAGTGACCATCGGGTGCTCGGTTACCTCCCTGGCTAAAGCCCTTGTCCCCCAATCGCTCGTTTTGGCCAGGCGGCCTGCTCTTGGAAGATTCTTGGTGGTTCCAAACTTCTTCCATTTATGGATGATGGAGGCCACTGTGGTCATTGGGACCTTCAATGCTGCAGAATTTTTTCTGTACCCTTCCCCAGATCTGTGCCTTGATACAATCCTGTCTCAGAGGTCTACGGACAATTCCTTGGACTTCATGGCTTGGTTTAGGCTCTGACATGCACTGTTAATTGTGGGATCTTATATAGACAGGTTTATGCCTTTCCTAATCATGTCCAATCAACTGAATTTGCCACAGGTGGACTCCCATCAAGTTGTGGAAACATCTCAAGGATGATCAGTGGGAACAGGATGCACCAGACCTCAATTTTGAGTGTCATGGCAAAGGATGTGACTACTTATGTATATGTGTTTTTTTTTTTTCGTTTTTTATTTCTAATAAATTGCAAGATTTCAGTGTCTGATCAACATGTTGGAAAATAACTGTGAGTGTAAAAGAAAGGTTTTATATATAATGAATCATTATACATGTACATGGGAAACACTATATTCACATAGTACTTACTCTGCTTTCTGCTTGACAATGCTACATAATAGCTTTACTTTATTTTTTTTTTCTCAAAATCCAGGGCTCAACCAACTCATGGAAAAAATATACACCATAAGTGACTGATCACTAATCACTCATAATTTTCTCTCCTTCTGAAAAAGCTTAAATGCCTAATGGTCTGCCAACTCTCTTTCAACAATATTTTGAGTAATTTTGTGTCTATGACTTGGAAAAAGTATGCAGCTAATAACTACTAATTTTTCTCTGACTTTCCTGATCTGCATATTTGTTCCAGGAGAGAAACCAGAGCCAGGGAGTGAGCAAAATAGCCAGGCATCTAGCAAAGGAAATTAGCTGTAGAAGTCTGCATAATGAAAAGTTTACTTTAAAGCTGAACTCTGGGAATGAGATAAAATGTACCCTCGCAGTGTACCTCCAAACCCCACCCTCCAGACTGCAAGGGTTAAATGCTCATTTACATGTGTAAAGATAAGTTATATAACTTACCTTATTATTGGTTTTGGCAGGCTCCAGTGCTGTCCTCAAGCTCCAGCCTATGGACAAGCTGTGGGGGGCTTCTTCGGTGTCATTACAAAGAGTGCAGGGCTATTAATGCTGCACTGTATATGAGGATTCTTTGGGGGACCAGTCACTTGGATTGAAGGTCCCTGCTGAATCCAGGAATAAGATAATTTATCCTTACACTCCTAGCCTAAATGAGCATTTAACTCTTGTGGGGGGTGCACTGGAAGGGTATATTTTGTCTTATTCCTGGAGTACAGCTTTCAAGTGCTACTATATATGACTTTCTGTCAATAGTTGTTAGGGAACCATTACTGGTTTTTAACATTTGGCTTTCATTGACTTCCATGTGGTTCTGATTTGGTACTTCGGTAAATTTTGCCAAACCCGCTTTAAACCGAACGCAGGTACATTTATCCCTAGAGGTAAATCTACAAATCTTTATATTTGATAAAATAACAAATATATGGAAGAGTGAGCACTTAAACACACGAAAGACATATCAAAGGCAAACACTAAACACTGCAAGAATATTTAAAAATATTTGCTCACTAGAAATAAAATACTTTCTCTTTAACCTCCCTAGCAGTATGAATATTTCAGATTTTTGGTGCTGAAAGCGGTACCATTTTTTTGCATGGAAATATGTAGTTTTTTTTTATTGTAGGCTGTAATTTTTAGCAATAACTCACTGAAATCTGTCCGAACAAGAGTCTAATAAACATCCCGGGTATGATAAAATTTGAAACACAAAATCATAAATTACAATTTAATAAATAATCATAAAAAATAATAATATAATAATAATACATTTAATTCAATAATATAATCAAACCAAAAACACTGAAATTTGAAATATAGCACCAAGTTCGCACATCGCTGAGCAAAGTCGCAAAATTGTTTTCAGTGTCTGATGACGAATTTCCCCCATGAATCATTATCACTCAATTCTGCAAGTGGTTCTAATTTACTATCGCTGTTCTCTAGCCGATCTAAACCCACTTTTGACCTAAAGGGACACTTTTTGGACGCCATGGACTTTTCTAAGTTTCCAGGCAGAAAGAACAGTCAAAATGCAGACAGGGGACAGGACAGAGCACTAGGGACAAAATGTATTTGAAATGGGTTGAAACAGCAATGTTTTACTATGTAAAATCGTTTTGAAAAAAATGAAATTTTTTTTTTAAAATTTCAAATTTCCCACTGCCAGCGCCTGTATGTCTCGACGTCACAGGGACCGAAACACAGGAGCCGGATGCCGGCATCGGCCGGAGGAGATGGCCGGGGACGCTGCAGGGGACACATCGCGGGAGCGAAAGACAAGGTAAGTGCTGCAGGGACTCCCTATGCAGCGACGCATGGTAAGCCCGAGTGTAGCTCGGGGTTACCGCTTTTGGTACAGACATTTTACCCGAGCTACACTCGGGAATACCGCTAGGGAGGTTAATATAAATTGGGGAAAAGGGTAACATAAAGATAGTTTATAATTATAATTTATTGTGGTTGTTTTTTTTGTTTTTGAAAACAGTGTAGTGCTCACCTCAAAAGAGTCACTGAATTGTATTGGGCCCTCTTGCCCTACACCAGTGATGACCTGCCTTTACCTGGACCCAAGAACACCAACACAAATATACATGGTTTAACCACTAGCCTACAGGGCACTTATACCCCCTTCCTGCCCAGGCCAATTTCCAGCTTTCAGCGCTGTCACACTTTGAATGACAATTGTGCGATCATGCCACACTGTACCCATATGAAATTTTTATCATTTTTTTGAGACAGATAGAGCTTTCTTTTGGTGGTATTTAATCACCTCTGAGATTTTTATTTTTTCTTAAACAACCAAAAACCACTGAAAATTTTGAAAAAAAAAAGTTTTTTCTCTTAGTTTGTGTTATACAATTTTGTAAATAAGTGATTTTTCTCCTTCACTGATGTGCGCTAATGAGACTGCAGTGATGGGCACTGATAGGCTGCACTGATGGACACTGATAGGTGGCACTGATGAGGAGGCACTGGTAGGTTGCACTGATGGGCATTGACAGGCATCACTGATGGGCACTGAAAGGCAGCACTGATACATGACACTGACATATGGCACTGATAGGCGGCACTGACTGGCACTGATAGGCGGCACTGACTGCCACTGTTAGGCGGCACTGATTGGCACTGATAGGCGGCACTGACTGGCACTGATAGGTGGCACTGATGCGCACTGATAGGTGGCACTGATTGGCAGCACTGATAGGTGGCACTGATTGGCATTGATAGGTGGCACTGACTGGCACTGATGGGTGACATTGAAAGGCAGCTCAGATGGGCACTGATATGTGGCATTGATGTGCACTGGTATGCACTGATATGTGACATTGATGTGGCACTGATGGACACTGACAGGTGGCACTTCTGGGGCTACACTGATCATCAGGGCACACTGATCATCAGTGCCCTGATGATCAGTGTACATGTTCCCTCACCTCTCGAGCTGTCAGCGTGACAGCTCGAGAGGAGAGAAAGGCTGATAACCGGCATTTCTGTGTTTACATGTGATCAGCTGTGATTGGACACAGCTGATCACATGACCGAGCCGACATCTTTGGCTCCTTCCGTGATCCGCTGTGTCCGAGGGACACAGCGCACCGGCGATCGCCGTGCTGCGTGCTCCCTGAGCCATGCATGCGCGGTGAGAATGGAAGGATGTCATATGACGTCCTGTCAGAACGAGAGAACCACCTTGCGCCCGTCATTGTACTATATGGCAGGCAGAAGGTGGTTAAATAAGTTTTATTTAAAGGCAACTCCCTAAAAAAGAACACATTAGTCAGACAACAGTTTCCAATATTACAGTAATGCAGGTACCATATTAAGCAACGCAATGCACATGGTGTCACTGATTGTTCCCCATGACCACCTATGAAGCAACCGGTGTGAAAGCAGGCACTAAGCTGTCTTGAGGGAGACACACTGGCATGTAATGCAATAAGAATAATTCTCAACACAGTACACAAGCACAGATTACTTGGCAGTAGTTTACCTACTGCAGGATGGCCTACCTAACCACTGGCCAGTGGGACAAAATAAAGAAATTGCTGGTGATGGGGCCCTTGCATTGGAGCTCAAAAATTAGATAAACAAGATGGTGGCCAGAGGCCTCTCACCAGAGATGAGCCAGCTCCCTGCAGCTGTAGCAAGTAGTGGTAGCTGAAACAGCCATTGCTTTGAATAACTGGAACACTGAAATCCATGATACAACTGGAACACTCTGGAACAACAGTGTAGCACATGGAGAATGTAGTCATCTCTCTGCAGGCAGTCTCCCCTGCAGCAGCACACATCTGTCACATCCACTCCTCTAGCAGTGGAAATAGAGCTGCCTCTGTGTGTAGGCAGGTGCCTACAGAAGGGTTAATGTTTTTTTCTATGCTGACTTCTGTCCTGCAGGTATCTGGGTCATGTCTGCTGCCTTTTCTGCGAAACTGTTACAATGTAGATGTGTCCTAGATATGAGGAGTTGATTGGCTAGATTTTTCCCACCAAAATATAGGTCTACTTAAAAAGGGATCTCTCCAGTGTCCCAGAGAGTTCTGCTGTAAACCACCGCCAAGATGTAAGCCATTACTCTGCCAGTTGGTAGTAGTTCTCTGTGGGCCTGCGAACCTGAGGACTCTTTTGGGCACTTAAAGGAATCTTATGGACTTTTGCTACCTCCTGTGGATCACTTGCCAATCATGAACTCTGCCTTGCATGGACTTCAACAAGTCTGCTGATACTCTGGTATGACACCAGATGGGCACTAGAGCATCTCTATACAGAATTATTTATAAGAACTGTAATTGTTTCTTTGTATCTGCCTTACTTCAGTAAAGTACTGCCTGGTCTGAAGTCTTTCTGTTAAGTGGAGTATTGCTTGGCATATTCAAAGAACCAGGGCTTGTAACTAAGGGGACTTAGGTTAGAGTAGACACTACGCATAAAGTCCAGCATGGGTCTGTCTTGTGTAGCCTATATTGCTGCAACTAGGGACAACTATGTTAATATGTCATTTGCTTAAGGTAGCCAACCAGACAAGGGTGATGGTTACTCTGGTGTTTAAGGGGTGTTATGCTTGGCTCCTTCACTAGCACCTGGTTCCCCCATTTCTGGGACCGGCTCTGCAGCAGAGTACTTAGGGACCTATCCTGGAAAGTCACAGGAAAGAGGTATAAAGGCCTTTGGTGTAGTACAAGCATATAATTAGAGCATGGTGTAATGGTTTCTCTGTATCCAGTAGCAACCTGCTGGTATGTCACTGGGAGTGAGGTGACCGGGCATTTCTGGGTTGTGGTGACTGGGACCTGCTCTGCGGTCCAGTCCCTAAATGCTCTGCACCTGGGAGTTGGTGTCTCTAACCTGTAATGGTGGCTAAAATGTTACCCATGAAGTTAGTTACGAATGGGTTGCTAAGAGCTGAAAGCATTAGTTCTGTGCTCTTGGGCCAGAGTGCCACTTTAAATACAGGTTTCACACAGTGCGGCTTTTCTCCACAGAGCAAGGCAGCCTGTAGGTAGGTAAGGTGTAGACTTATGGTTCCAATTCAGGGTGGTTATCTTCACAAAACCAAGTGTAGTTAGCTAGGGAAGGTAATGGGTTAATGGTGTAGTCAGTGGTGTAACTAGAATCTTCAGTGCAAAAAAACATGAAGGGCTCCCCTGACCCCCGGCTGGAGCCCTTCCCTCTGAGCCCGGTTGTGGAATGCCAAGGCCTGGCCCAGTGCGACCTTTGTGACCTTGGTAGTTCCGCCACTGGTGTCAGTCATTTTTTTTCTTTACTTAACCATTTATTTATTTATTTTTTAAATATTATTTTTACATTATTTTTTACAATCTTTTTTTAGGAGCCCCGTTAGGAGGCTTTAGTGAAATATCAGGGGTCTAAACAGACCTCTGATGTTTCACCTTTGGAACAGAGAAAGGTGATTGAGAATACAGACCTTAATGTCCTTCTCTGCAGGTTAAGTTGCATAGAATTAATGGACAGGAATAGCTCTGTATAGAGGTTTTCCATTCATTCACAAACTGAAGCACAGTAAACACAGTTTACTATGCCTCAGTTATGAATGAACAGAATAAGTGATCGTTACAGATCACAGACTCTATTATTTAAGAAATGGAAGGGGTCAGAAAATGACACATTTATCGGGTCCTTCCACGCTCTCCATCCTGGCAGATCCCCTGCAGGGGCCAGCAGGAGAGGGGAAGGGCAACCCGGCAAAGCTGCGGGGAGGAGGGGGGCATGGTTAAGAGCACAGGGGGGCTGGAGAGTGTGGGGGGGCAGCAGAAAGAAGCTAGATTGGGGGGGCTGCAAATAGAGGAAATGATCTCTCCATTTTCCTCCTGCAGCTGCTGAATGCCTGCATGAGGGAGAGCAGGAGAAGCGGGCATTCAGTAGCTGCTGATTTCTCTATATGCCATCACTGCTCCTCCTATCCAGGCAATGGTGGGGGGGTTCACAGGCCCCCTGCAGTATGGGGCCAGGTTGTGATTGCAACCCCTGTGAATCCCGTAGGTATGCCCTTGGGTGTAGTGGCTGCTTGCTATTCATCTCTAGAGTGAGGCGCCAGGGAGAAAGAGGTTTAATGACCGTGCACACACACCCTGGGTGCATAGGTGCCGCTCACAGCTTTGGTGTAGTTAGTGAGAGTAGTAGTTCACAGTCCCCATAAACACACCGGCTGCGCTAAGCCCCGCCCACATGTACACGATAGAACAGTACTCACAGTGGCCAATCTCTCATTCTGCCTGAACAGAACGGAGTCATCTGTCCCAAGGACCTATAAACACGCTCACAGCAGTCTGCATGTGGTCCTGAGCACAGTAGCACACAGCCCAAAAAAACAGTTCAGTCCAGCTCTTTGCTTTCACAAAAGCAAAGGAAAATTCTCACCAGGCTCTGTGTAACAGTCTCAGAGCCCTTAGTCCTGTTCTTCACTTGCAACACACTTCCTGGGCCCCAAGTGCTCTCCTCCCAGGTCACAGAGCTCTCTCCCTGAGTCCTCTTCTACCTCCCCAACCCACCACCTTTGTCCTGGCCCAGGTTACATGTATAATACATTCTATACTCTGTTCAAGTTAGTTCCAGTCCCTGTTCCTGTTATGATATACTCTGTAGGCTGTACGTGTTTTATATATGCCTCACCTTGACAATAAAGCACTGTATAACTACTCTGCTTCACAGGCTACAGGACACAATATATACAGCTGTGTGTATGTTTAATTCATGTACTGTGTGGATTCTGTTGTTAATTAATGAATTATTTTCTTCTTTGGTAAAATATTCCAGAAACAATTATGCTTCTGACCCTAGAAGAAGTGTATATCCCATCGGCAATAAAGTTCTTTTCAGTTAAAGGACTAGATGTAAATGCACTGAACTGTTTTATAAGCCTTGTAAAATGCCAAGTGTGCAATGCATAAATACAGAATATATGAGTCACATGAAAAGGCTGTCTAAATATTTCAGCGTATGCAGCATTCAAAGGAGAGCTGAAAGTCAAGGAAGAAATAGAAGTGTTACAGTGTTTTATTTATAGCCTAAGAAAAGTCAAAAATATATTTGCATATAATTTGAGAGAAACCTACTAAATAACATATATAGCAAAGCATACCAATCCAAAGAATACAATTAAGATTCATTTGCCACATATCAGTCTTCTGTAAACTGCTTGCTGTGGATTTCTGCACTTTGTCCTTCATCTTTGTTTCTCCTTATTAGGCGAACCCACTTATATTATTCTAATGCTGGGTAGAAATGTAAGAAAAAAAAAGAACTGTGAGTGAGCATTTATGAATGAAAATTATTAATGAGAATTAACGGAGGTATTATTTATAAAATACTATGCAGGTTTGCCTGTTCATACTATGCAGGTTTGCTGCTGTTCATTAGAACAGTCTATTCAGAATGTTGCTTTATTTAAATTGGATGTAAAACCCTAACAATTAACTGTTCTTATTTGCTTTCCTTTGGTCTGTTAAATATGCAATTTGAAGCATTTTATTATATCTGTGTGATAAGTGCAAAAAAAAGAAAAGAAAACATTAAAAAATTTCAGAGCTGTCCTGTGTCCTTTGCACCCTTCCTGTATTATCTTAGTTGCTTTTCATCTGACCCATGTATAAAAAATGGTCAGACAGAAGCAGCATTGATGTACTGGTATGTCCCCCCACATCGGCTGCTCGTGTGTAGCTTCTAGACTGGGTAGTGGAGCGCTCAGTGATTGCTGTGCCACTTGGATACAGCAGATCACAGAGAGGGGTAAAAGGGCAATGAAATAAGCCCTGTACCATGTGATCCCTGTGATTAATCACAGTGATCACACTTGTAAACAAAGGCTGCATGCAAACCTTTGAGCCATTTCTTTTCAGTTAACTAACTGCTTACTACAGTCATTGGGACTATAGTAAGCAGTTGCAGTGTATTTTGGGTTGGTGGCTGCCTTCATGCCTTATGCTAGGCTTGCTTCTTCCCTGCTCCACAGGCTGTCCTCTCTCCAGAGACGATGAGGCAGGGAGATTCTCCTTTCCAGCACCTTGCTAGTAGGTGGGCCCCTTCCCTGGCTCCACACG